ATTTAGTTTGTCAGTTTCTGAAAGTTTGTACTCTGAAGGTTTCATATAATACAATCTCTGAACCTAAGAAAGATGCAAATATGGGTGTCTGGAATTGCATGTCACCCAACAATGTGGCAGTGACAAATTTTATTCTTAAGTTTGGTAAGTTTCAGAACCGCGTTTCCTCGTGCTCGTGCATATCTTGAGTGCCAGTGACTTCATTTTTTTATTTCCAGTAGAATCCATCCAGAACAGTGCAAAGTTTTCGTTCCTCTTGCTAATAAAATGTCTTTTCATCTCACAGGGTGGATGGCAGAAAGGAAAAGTTCTGTATGCTTTCTTTGAGATCAGTGCAGAAGTAGCTCTCAAGTCTTTCGTCCATGTCTATATTTGGAATGTTCTCCTTTTAAGCAAGAATACTTTCGATGGCATATACAGTTCCATCAACACCTTTTACAACGCTTCATGCGTTTCAAGATTTACGATTAACCTCAAAATTGCTGCAGCGGTTCAGGGTTACATACTTCACTATGCGTCACTCAGCTATGCCATCCCGTAATTAGTCATTTCTCAATAACAAGGAGGGAGGAGGTGGACGGTGTAATTCGTGGTTACCGAGAAAAACGCTGAAGAGTAGTGAATTAGATTCTCATTAATCTCTGCAGTGCCTTCGAAGATTTGCCATGAAGCTTGAAGATGCCAAGAACGATTCAGCCTGGTCTAAGCCACATGAAAATCATCAGCATCATCATCCTTTTCCCATTCATTGCTGGATGAATGTTCTGCCAAGATTTTGCCATAGAACTCTGCTTTCTCCCATCTTATCCAATACTGATCCACGGAATTTCTTCAGTTCTTCCCGCTATCGACCTGGAGATCTTCCTACGGACCGCTTACTCCTTTGAAAGCCAATCAAGTGTTTCTCTGGTTTAGCGATGGTCGCTTCTTATAGCAAAGTGTGCTGCCCATTACCACTTTAAAGTCTACGTTCAGACAGTGACATCGTAGAGTCATGCTCCTGGTCTTACTCATTTGTTTGTTTTCCTATCTTTTCTTATTATTCCCAACGCGCATTTTTTCATGCTACACTACGCATGTACAGTTTATGAATGGCTTTCATGCTTAAGGATAGCATTTTGTACGTGTTATTGGCACTGAAGGCACATGCGAATAGATATCTGCTTCACGCATAAAATTAATATCCTGAATATACACATCATTCTTTTATCCAGGCTACCTTTATTCTACTTCTTCTGTTGATTTCACGTAATCGGTTCTCCGTTGCACAGATGAGCTGACCCGATAAAAATGGCTTTGCTTCTCTTCAAGCCGGTGGACCTCAACACGGTCCCGAGATTACGAATTTATCAGATATGACACGAGTCTTCTTCAGGTTTGTTTTCAGCCATATTTTCACGCTAGCGTTGTGACCTTGAGGGATCGGAATATCCTCAGCAAGCTACATGCGGATTAAGTAGAGCAGCCTGCGATATTTTTCAATGACTGTGTCTTGAAAACCTCTTGTTGGGCTGAAGAAAATAATTTCAGAAATATGGCATCTGCCTGCTAGACGCTCTTTTTGACTTTAAGCTTTTAAACCGTTTGCATTTTTGTAGCAAGCCTCACACTAGCCACTGCATTCATGTACGTTTTGGCGATGGAGCTTTTCTACATTGTTTTTGATTCCCTTATTCCTGAAAGAGTCTCGTGGAAAAGATGTAGATCGAGTAGAAGACCTTATCGAAATCAGTGAACCTCTTGCAGGCAGGAAACCCGTGAATATTTTACAGTACGAGGTTTACGGGCTATTGCTTTTCAGTTGCTATGTACATGTATTTTTGCTCTAATAAGCACTGTTATGCTATTTTGTATCCATACGCTGAAAGTGCTCAGAGATCATGGAGAGATATCATGCTTGGCGGCCTCAATAGGGGCTAGTGACATGATGCATTCCAGTATAATGACTCATACTACTCGTTTCCCATAAAAGTGGGATTGTAGCAAATTAAAGCATAATATCATATCATGCTGTTAGATAGGCAAGCACTTCTTTTAGTGCCACAAGCATTTACACAGTTCGTGCCATCACTGTGCCATCAGACAAGCAAGTACTACGGATATTGTTTAAATTTCCTCTATATTTCTAGATACAAAGAGAATGTCTGACCGCACCGTATATCCTTCCATGCATAATGACTTGCGCCTGTCATTTCCTAGGATGGTACTGGTGTAAACCAACTCTAGTTGTTCTTAAACTTGAAGCTAAAATATAACGCCATGCTTTTTGGGTTATGGCACTTCCGTAACGCATGTGTGCACGCATTTGAACATGTTTGTTGTATTCAAACAACTAACATTCA